TTTTTTTATTATTTCCAATTAGATATAAACAAATATAATTTAAAACAAAATATAAAATTTTTGAAAATAAATGGCGAATAATTTTATTTTTGATTTTTTTTTGGACTTAACTTCACTTAACTCTTAATCTTTTTCCGAATTTGATAAATTTTAATATTTATTGAATTTTTTTGTATGTTGTTTTAGGAGGAATAAGCAGCTTCAAATGGTGAGTCTTTTGATTTAAATTTAACTTTTTCTGTAAACAAATTATTTTTTTCAAAATTTTTAATTAATTTTTAACAGTGATGTTTTAACACTAAGAATTATAAATAATTAATAAATATCTTTAAAATAAAAATCTTAATAAACAAATAAATAATAATTGCAATTGCCTATAGTACCTACCTATACAAAACGTGTAGTGGAGAATAATAATTTTTAAGTAATAAAAAATATAAAAAAACTTCGTCTACATATAATTTAAATTAAAACAAATATTTGAACAAAAATTAAAAAATATAAAAAAAAAATGAAACAAGGAAAAAAACATATGACCGTTTTTGTTAAATTAACAAAATCTCTTTAAATTCATATCCTAGTTATTTGAAAAATGCCTTTGACCAATGAAAAAAAGTTTTACCTAATTATATTGGTAAATTGTGCATTAATATTAAATGCTGGTGAGTTTATTATAAAACTTTATTTTCAAATATACAAATCATTTTCTTTTCAAATTTTTGAAACAAATTTTTGTTATAGAGCCAAATATGGAGTACCGTATTATTTTTGGTACACATTCAATTCAGAATGTCTTCTTAACACCCCTTGTTTTATTGTGTAGGAGTCACAGAAAAACATTCTATAAAAAAATTATTTTTGTACCTAATACGGAATATGTCCCTAATAGGGAACATATGTTTCAAGGAAAAATAAAACAGTATGATCCTTACACAAAACATTTTATTACTTTAATCAGTCAACATAAAAGAATTTCATTGGATACATCAGGAACGTATTTTAACTTCTTTACAAAATTTGTACAACAAATTATTATTTTTTCTACTAAACAATCGACATGGTATCAATTTAAACATTCTTTGTAGTGTATCCACTATTTACCTTTGCAATTGCAATAGAAACAGGTGGCAATCATTTACTTGTTGGTTTCAAATTGCAGACACCACACCATTCCATATTAGGTACATCTTTTAATTTTCGTTAACAGATTCACACATTACCCCAAATATTAGTTAAATTTGCTAAATAGGAATAAAGAGCTTATGCTATGCTCAAACACATGTTATGTATAAAAAGTTGGTAGTTGATACTACCCTTGTACACTAATATTATTAATACAGAACTGCAAAGTAGCCTTCACTACTAGTCTATTGGGGAATAATCTGATATCCTGAATTACGTTTGGATACGATTTGCGCGGCGTTGTCAAAGCTAGTTAAAATAATTTATTGAATGATATTTCATTTTAGGAACATATTCCATATTTGGCTACTGTCCTCTATATATTTCAATAAAATTGCATTTTGCCTTGAGTTAAAATAAAGTTGGTAGACCTTTTTCTTTTTTAAATACAAATTTTTGATTGTCAGTGTTTAACAACTTTTTTAAAGCACAGAGTGATATAAATCAAGTATCCAAGAACATGAAGATACAAAGAGTAGTCAGAAAAATCAAATACGGAGTACCCCAAGATACTGTATTAGGCCCCCTGCTGTTTCCCCAGAATATAAACGCTTTGTTGGAACTTAATCCAAAAGGTAAGATTATAAGTTTTGTGAACAAAGAAAAATTGTTTGAATGACAGATTTATGTATTTTAAATATTTGGAATAGTAACAAAATAATTTGTTAATAATGTTCCGTGTTATATAGACAAAATTCAACATTATGATAGCAAAATATTGATATCAATTTAGAATATTTTTGTGTATTCTACAGAAATCTTTTGGTTTTGTTTTGTTAACAAATTGATTAATTTCACTGTTAGCATAAATAAAACTTTGTAAAAACGAAAAACTATTTTGGTAATATAAAAATATTTTATTTTAATAACAAAATGGGTTTGTTCTTACATATTTTGAAATTTAACAATATATTTGGGAATTTAACAAAGTATTTGTTAATTTGAAGAAAATTTTGTAACAGTGACAAAACGAATTTCTCCCATTCCCTTATTTTCAACGGATATAATGAAAAACTGGTAAATATTTATTAAAACGTTGTGAGAAGTTGAATCAGTGTTCAGGTATGGTTCAGGTACAATTTGGCTATGCAGTTTAGAATATGGATATGTATACATAATGTTTCTTATAACATTATAAATTTTGAAAAATTTGGATTTTCTTTAATCTCTCGCTTTGTATTCAAGAACACAATTCTAGTTTTATGTCATTATCTCTTTCTTTTAAGGTATTTATGAATTTAGATTTATACGGACGGTAAGTATACTTTTTAGAATTCTTACTGTTGATTTTGTTGCATCTGTTCTTCGAGCTACTTCAGCTAAAGAAGAAGTGATTTTATTTTCTGTAACATTAATCAAAACATCATATTCCTTTTCTGCCACTTATTTAGACTCTTTTTTTTTTTTAATTATTGTCGACTGTACTGGTTTACTTAAACTTACTTAAATTTTACAGTCGCGTTTGAAACGAATTTTTCAGAATGTCTTGCTTTAAAAATTTTCGCAGTTTCGCTATGAATTAACACCCCAGTTAAATTTTTTCTTCTTGATCTTTAACTGTAAAATGTGAAACTGTACACATAATGTTTTAACAGTCACTACGTTATTTTTTTATGGTTGTCCTTTTTTGTATGCATTACTTAAGTACTGTTGATGTGTTTTATTGTAATTAGTGCATACTTAATTTATTTATATATACTCAAATATTGTACTAATTTATATGAACATTTACTTGTATACTAATTTATATTAACTATATTAATCTGCTCAAAACTATCTCTAAACTAGAACTGACCGACTTTAACAGGCTATTTATTTAAAAATGTGGCCAATTTGAATGTTCTCGCATTCACCAGAACTTACTACGAAAATATTAGATGTCTAGACGTTTTCTTCAAGATCTATAGCCTATTAATTCTAAAAGAAAACTAAATAAAAAGAGGATGTTAAGGGCTGTCGAAATATTAAAGAAAAATTCAAATTCAAAAATGAAAAAAGATATCAACTGGAAATTTTTAGCAAAAATCAAGCTCGTTAAGGGGGGGGTTGAAATAAAAAATATGAGAAATCAAAAACCAAAAGCAATATCAATATGAAATTTTTTCTAAAAATAAGCTACACAAAGGGATAAAGCCTATTGATTCTGAAAAAATATCTGAATAAAAATGGTGGAGTCAAGGACGGTAGAAATATTAAAAAAAATCTAACTCTGAAACAAAAAACGATATCAAATCCAAATAAAAATGGGGCGAAGGGGGGGTTGAAATAAAAAATCGGAAACCAAAAATAAGAAGCAATATTAACATGAAATGTTTGCTAAAAATCAAACTCTACAAGGCGATCTTATTGATTCTTAAAAAATATCTGAATAAAAATGTTAAGATAGAAATATTAAAAAAATTCTAACTCGGAAACAAAAAACTATATCGACTTGAAATCTGCAGGAGAAATTACAAGGAGATTAAGCCTATTGATTTAAAAAAATCTGATTAAAGATGGGTTAATATAGTATAATATAGAATGCCAAGCATTATATATCGTCATTCTAGTTTAATCGAATATTTTTGGAACTCAGAAAGTGGAAGTCGTTAGAGTCCCAAATAACGCAGAGCGAGACTTAAGGGATTTAGAGCATTTCCGGACTGGTCGAAAATGGCTCGCATTACATTAACTACCAATTAAATGTTTCATAGAAGTAATTTAGATGTTAAATTGATTAAATATTGAATGCAACAATTCTTGTTATTAATGATTCGTATTTTAATGAAAAAAATTATTTAAATTAGGCATTTTTTTTTGAAAATTTTAATTTCTTTCAGAAAACGCCATTTGCTTTTGCATAATTTTAATATTCGTAAAAAATAAGTACATTTATTAACAAAAATTAGTATAGAATTGTTGTCTTCTCGTCCCTTTTTCAATGAATGAAAAATTTTTAGTTACGGGGGTGAACCAAAAAATTTTAAAAACTAAAAAAAATTGAATATCTTTCAAAATTGGTATGTTGACAAAAATGTCATTCAAAACAAGTCTCTAATAACTTTTTCATGTTTAAAAAGAATTTGACAGATATATGTAACTAATAGTATAGAAAACTTTGATATGAGCGATTTTAATTTTTTAAATAAGCATAGGTGATTGACCAAAAAACTTTTTTATTTTCAACTTTTAGAAAAAATGTTTTGCATGTTTCAAAATTAATAATAATTCAAACATTAATATATTTGTGCTGTAGTAAAATAATGACAAAAAAAGAAAGTTTTTCTTTTAAAATTTCATTATCACTGTAAACAAATTGTTTTAAGTAACCTCACAGAACGAGCTGGTCATTGCAACTGGTCCGTAATGAAAAAATATTTGCATATTTTTGTCATTATTTCATTAAAGCATGGTTCATAAAATAGGTAGTTATGTTACTGTGACTGGTGCCTTTGATCTTCTTTTAACATTATTTTGCCGACGAACACCGACGTACTACCGAGAAATAAGCGTTGGCTGCCTCTCTTAAGGCACACACTGTATACCTAAATACTTTGACCCTTTTTGCGGGTTTAATTTTAAAATCAAATCCAATGTTTTTCAATGTAAGCGAAAGTTGTCCGTAATCCGTAAACGACGACAAAAAATAACGACGACAAGACAATTAAGAGAATATCAGGAAGATGATTTAATAATAGCCGATAAAACGTGGATAATTTGTAAAATGAAGCTCAAGCCGAAATGGCGATTTGCGCCGCATGAGTAGCGCACCCCCATTACCTACCATTGAGACGATCACGAGCTTTGGAGGAAGGCTTTTCGCTATCGCTTTTGTTATATAGCAGTTATAGCCGCTTTCCGAACTCCACGTGCTAACTGGCAGCTCGCGCGTCGCGTCACGCGTTTTTTAAATTTCAAATGGGGACTGGACAATCCCGTTGACGATTCGCAACCCATGTTTTACCCCGTCTTTCCATGGTCAACAGAAATGACATCGGAATTCGACGAGCTAAATCCCATTGGTCCCCCGAATTCAACTAATGCATGTGAAGGTGATTTAAAATTCGCGGTTACTTTCGATAGACTTTCTTGGCACGAGCACGTGTATAGAAGACTTTCTAGCAAACCTACGCCGCATTACATTGAGAACATCCTGGGTTTGCAAACTAGTGACCAGTGTCAGGACACACAGGACAATATGATCGGACACTTAAATCCTCCGCCTATTAGTTATAATGTGACTCAAATTTTACCCGCTGAAATTAACGAACCGTTGAATTTATCTGTGAAAAACCAAATTAAAATACGAACAAAGACCGTTAAAGGTATTCTATAACTCTAAACTACATGTTTTCATTTTATTTTAAAGTGTTTTCAATTTCTAAATCAACTTTATTTTGTTATTCGATGTTTTCCTTAGTTTAATTGATCAGGGTAAGTTAGAAAAACTTATTTTTTAATCCCTTAACGCCCTTTTCAGAGCGTTATGAATAGTAAAATTTGATCTAATGCAACAAATAATAATGACAACATTTAATGAATTTAATAAAGATTGAATCATATAATGAACTTTTTTATACATTGTGTCCCAAAATTGCTGGGACATAGAGTTACCACGTATTATAGGGGTCAAAATAAGTCATTTCATATATTTCTATACCAAAATGTATCGTTTGCCCCAGAGAAAAGTTCAAAGTTTACTTAAAATATCACATTTTTGTACGCTGTTTATAAATACGTAAAGCAAATTTGATCAAATTTAGTAAAAGCATATTTTAAAGGATAACCCTACTTTCAGTAATCAAAGAAACCCAAAGGTAATTGTAAAAGGGTTAAAACCATCCTTATTCGGTATTTTCTTAGGGGTAGTAATACGGTAAGACTTTTTAATAGGAAGGCCTACTCATCATCTTCATTTTTTACTCCCTTAAAAACTCCGTATTTCGCATAGTTTCTCTAACACTGATGAAACCGATATTAATTGTAGCACAAAATTTAGTTGGCCGTGGACACAAAAAGAAAACTAGAAAGCATGGCGTTTTATACAGGGTGTTCCAATGAAAAGTAGCCCGTTTTCATTTGATAAAATTTGGTTACGGTGAATTTAGAAGAGGAGATTTTTAAAAAACACCCTGTATAGGTAATAATTTCTGTGTCACTGAAGCAAAACTTATAGCACACATATCAGCAAAAAAACGCACGTTTCCACAATTTGTTTAAAAGTTATAAGCTCTGGAAATGGGTTACTTTTTATTGGGATACCCTGTATTATACTCTTCATATTTTAATAGACCCCTAGTCCTCGTTTTATTCTTATTTTGATTCAGAATCAATAGTTCATCCCCTTATAGAGCTTGATTTTTTACTAATAATTTCATGTTGATGTCGCTTTTCGGAGGACATTTTTAAAATTTGTTAAAAATTTAATGAGGAGAATTTTGGTACAACATTTTTTAAATTTACATCAATATTAAACATTTTGGTTTCTTGAAAGTAAACCTATAATACTCTTCACAGACTATTGTGTGAAGAGCATAACAAAAGTCATGATTTTGACAGAAAACATTCATAATCGTCCATAATTTGTTACCTTTTTTTTTTTTTCAAGAACAAACTGTACATTTTGGTATTGGATACAATTGATTTATTTTAACCTCTACAATACGTCAAGCTCTTTATGTTCCCGCAATTTTGGGATACCCTGTATAATCCATATTATCGAACAACATATGTTAAAACTAGGACATACAAAATGACTATTAACATCGTTTCAAAGGCTTCTATTTAACTAAAAGATCACTGATTTTATGATTGTGCACTTCTTTATAGGTTTTTTATTTTCTTGTATTTCTCTTATTTTTATGAATAATTAATTTTCTCTTATTGAGTGTATCCTCCTAAAAATAAATTTATCATCAAAAAATAATTTAAAACCTGTGCTTTTATTATCCGCCGAAAGACAGTATTTATACTTTTTTTAATTTTTAAGCATTTCATTCACTTTCGTCTTCCAAAGGTTAAAGTCAGGGCCGTCCTTAGTTATTCGGCGCCCGTGGGCTACTAAAAATAATGCGCCCCGTTTCATTAGAAACCACCGGCAAAATTATACAAAAGTGTCAGAACTAGAAAAAAGTTAATTTATTACCTTTACACTAAACAAAATCAAAAAGAATTATACATATTAAAAAACCTATATAAACAATTACAAACTTTATAGTGAACAAAAACAAAAGTAACTATATTTAAATTCCAAGCCGGGGAAATTCTAAGAACCCACATATTTATTATCAAACTCCAAAACAAAGATATGTAAATTATATAATATTTTCTATTTAATGTAGAACATCAGGTTATTTTGATTTTGATTAAAAATAACTATGTAATAACAAATCATTAATAATAACAAACACCAATAAAAGTTGCTGCCCATGTAACCCTGTGGTTAGGGTGGCCCTGGTAAAAGTAAAACACTTATTATTGTGATAGGAAATAATTCAATTATATTAAAAAAAAATCATCTTCAAGACAACCTTATACATATATCTTTTTTTTTATTAATATGGAAAAGCTTCTTATTCTTTGTCAGACTCCTCTTCATATTTATAGAGTTTTGAACAAGGAAATAACAGTTTGGAAAAGTATTTAGATGGGTTAATTTTTATTTGTAATTTACCCACATTAAAAGCACGATGTATATCCTATACATACTCTTTGACAATTAAACAGTTTTTGGTGTCACAATTTATGATGCCGTATTTCATTTAAAATCATTATATTTATCTACAGCCATTAAATAATTGAGGCATAATCTTACACCTGCGTATAATTAACTCATAATTCAGTCTTTTTAGGCTTGAAGTTTAGCTTTAAGTACGTTCTAATGGGTTCTGATAACAGATCTTTTTTCTTTAAATTGAAATGTGAATATTAGATTCGATTCAGAAGAACATTTGGTCCTTATCCACCGCGACCTTTTCAGATCTATTGTGTAACTGAAACAATTCTAATTTTATATCTATTTCTAAACTCTTATTTACAACCTATGACATACATTGAGCTAACAATTTGATATGCAATTTTCTGATCAATAGGGTATTGGAAACATGCAATGCTTGGGAATCAGAATTCATAATTAAACAAAAGAATACCCAAAGGAGAATACTGTTTATACGAGGTGTATGGGGGCAGAAATTGATTTTTTAAACTAAATCTCTGGCTGCCTATAACTGTATTACTTAAATAATAATCAATCACTCCATTTATTACGTTCTTGTTATTCCCTTTTACATGAGGAAAATTCTAGATTACAAATGCCGTCATTTTATTTTAATATTCTATAAAGGGCGGTAATCGATTACCACAGATAAATATGAGCACATGGCACCAGTCATATCAATCGCTGTACTCAATTTCTGTTTACCATGACCGTATTCTAGATACTCAGTTTTCTCTATTAAATCTCAGATTCACACCTTTTGCTTCCAACTTCTCTCTCCATTGATCTAACCTGCAAAATTTCTACACCAGACAGGCGTATCGCCGTTTACCCGACCTCCTTTTTACAATTTAGCAACGAGTGACAAAGTATATCATAATCAGGACTGTATAAATAGACGAAAATCCATTTGCCTCCCCTACGACACCGATGAACTGTTTCATTGTTCGGCACAAAAATTAGGTATTATTGATCGACCATAAGTATCCGTTGATGACATTATTTGGCCACAAAAACTAATTCATTTACCAAATTTGCATTAAATTCGATTATGGTGTTGCTGTAATAGACAACGTTAACAGTACGCACTTAAATACGAATAAACTCGTAATATAAACGTTTGACCAAAATATCAACACAAACAAATCAAATGCAAAATAATTATCTGTATTTATGAAAAGTCTGTGCCGTCAGATCGGTGTGTTTTGGTCAATGTCCGGTTTTATATGTAGCACCAAATGGAATTCGTTTGAATAATAACAATTAGTTTAATTCATATCTATTTATTAAAAAATATATATAGGTGTATATAGAATTGGAAGAATTATTTAAAAAAATTATCCGTTTGGTGACAATAGAATAGAAAAAAATCTTACGAATCGTATATCTTACAAAGTATTTGGATTTAAGGGCCTCCTATAGGCAGTAATCTGGTATACAGACGCTCCAATACAAATGGAAGTTGCACAATAGTTGGTATTTACAGTGGGAAGTCAAGAAAGTTATTGAAAAACTATTGTCATATAGTTAGACAGTCAAACGATGTTAGAAGCAATCAGTTCTACGGATGAACACTCGAAATTGTTATGGAACTATTTGTAAGGCATAAAAGAATTAGATACTCCAAATAGATCAACGTCAGTCTGGATATCAGAGATTGTATGATCAATTTGATAACACAAGGAGGATTCGGCCCCGAACTCTTCTGTGATATTACAAGGAATGATGAACTAATTCTTAAGGAAGCACACAGAGAGGTAATAATTAAATCTAGACTGGTGAAAGACTGTTCAGAAGACCTAACAGAGTTAGAATAAATTGACAACCTGGGTATCAGACCATGAAGAACTACAATGTGTTAGCTCGGGAAGACTCAAATAAGGCCTTGACTGTTTCTGTAGGGTTGGTAACACTATGTATCAGGCATCTATTAAACAATGGCTGCAAAAATAATATGAAGAATTAGCCAGTTTAAAGAGTTTATTAAAAAATAGTTGACTATGGTATCAGATGGTCTATAAGACTTGCTGCGCACTATCGCCTGAGTGTTACAAATCGAGCAGAAGCGACACTATGTAGGTTCAACGAAGAAAAAGGAGAAAAACAAGAGAGGTGACAACTATCCATGTCCTCTGCCATTCTAAGCAAAGAAAAGCCAAAAGCACGATACTGTATGCGGGAGTCATTGTCGAAACTACTAAGTCTAGTGAAGAAGACAAATCGTCAAGAAGGAAAGGGCTTTAACTCCTATAAAAAACTAATATAAATTTTAATTTGTTATCTCTTGCTCCCTTTTATCTCTTTAAAATCATTCAAATAGCAGAATGTTAACCTATACCATCAAGTTCTCTAGTCGGATGGCTTTGGTCCTGAAGAAATACCCGAAAAAGAGAAGTGATCGACAATGACCTGTAGGTGGGTGACAGACATGGATTTACCCCTAGAGTTAGGCATAGCTAAAAAAAAAGGAAATGTAGAGGCTAGTCAAAGATACGCAGGTGTGTCAGAGGTGCAAGTGTATACAGGTGTGACAAACGTCACCTATAAAGGCGAGCCTAAAGAGTACTGACGAGCCTCGCCTAGCCTAATCCATATTGTAGACAAGAGAAA